GTGGTGATGATGGTGGTGGTGATGATGGTGGTGATGATGGTGGTGATGGTGGTGGTGATGGTGGTGATGATGGTGGTGATGGTGATGATGGTGGTGATGATGGTGGTGATGGTGGTGATGATGATGATGGTGGTGGTGATGATGGTGGTGGTGATGATGGTGGTGGTGATGATGATGGTGGTGGTGATGGTGGTGATGGTGGTGATGATGGTGGTGGTGATGGTGGTGGTGATGATGGTGGTGATGGTGGTGATGGTGATGATGGTGGTGATGGTGGTGATGGTGATGATGATGGTGGTGATGGTGATGATGGTGGTGATGGTGATGGTGGTGGGGATGATGGTGGTGATGTTGGTGATGATGGTGGTGATGATGGTGATGGTGATGATGGTGATGATGGTGATGGTGATCACGCATCGTCGTCCAAGGTCGACTAACTCATCAGAGAGTCGCCGCCGCCGCAGTCATTCACCCATTCCATTTCCATCGTCTCAGAGTTGATGAAATGCAGATTCACCCACCTACTCACCCACTCACTCGATCACCCGCTCACACCCACTCACACGCTCACTCACACACCCACCCACTCACACACTCACTCACTCACACACCCGATCACTCACACACCCGCTCACTCACTCACACACTCACACACACACACCCACTCACTCACACACCCGCTCACTCACACACTCACTCACACACCCACTCACACACCCACCCACTCACACACCCACCCACTCACACACCCGCTCACTCACACACCCGCTCACTCACTCACACACCCACTCACACACACACACCCACTCACACACCCACCCACTCACACACTGACTCACTCACACACACCCACTCACTCACACACCCACCCACTCACACACCCACTCACTCACTCACACACCCACTCACTCATACACCCACTCACACACACTCACACACACTCACACACACACTCACTCAAACACCCACTCACACACCCACTCACACACTCACCGCCTTCAAATGTTTCTTTGGGGCAGTGCGTAGTTGTACACACTCCGTGGTGTTGACAGCCGCCTGAGGATGCCTCGCATTATGCCTGGTTAGTTCGGGGTTGAGCTAAGTACTCTGGGTTCGGCTGGCCAGGTGATTGTGGTGTCCTCGTGACGAGATGTTAACTACCTCATCTGGTATACAAGAGGTCGGGGGTTCGATCCCGACCCCGACAACACGCCTGTGTATTTGGAGTTTGCGTGTTCTCCCCGTGGTCGCGTGGATTTTTTTCTCAGGGTCCTCCAATTTTTTCCCTCCGAGCGTCCTGATCACAAATGATGATAGCTCATTTGTGGCCAGAAAAAGATCTACACATATCTCAGTCGGCCTTACCTGGTAAAAAAAAATATATATTTTGATTAGGACTCACTGTGGAACTAGTACTAATGGAAGATTTCCAAGTTGCTTAGGGTTCGGGTAAGAATTGATTTGGCTCTTAAAATCTCACTTCTTCTCTATTGCCCATTTTCTTCATCTCTGCTCCCATCGCCCCTCCACTCCTTTCCGTCCCTCCCCGACCCTTCCGTGACCCCCCCCCCCCATCAGCACCCCTCTATCGCTGTCACTCATTACTCAATCCTCGCACTCCCCGCCATTGAAATCATTCGACTCGGGCATGTACCGCATTTTAAACGAGCGTCTTATGACGGACGTAGCAGAGAAAACGAGAGCGAGCATTGCGATACGATTTTAATTCATGAATTCGCGACGGGAGTGGGCAGTGGCCGCGCCAACGGTCGGAGCAACGTTGAGCCGACGCTTCCAACGTTGATACAACGTTGACGCAACATTAGCAAGACACAACGTTGACACGACGTTGACGCAACATTGGCAGGACACGTCGTTGACACGACGTTGACCCAACGTTGTGTCAACGTTGACACAACATTGGCATGTTTTTATGGTGCACGCATGTGTGTGTGTGTGTGGGGGGGGGGGGCATGTGGATAATGTGAGTGGTGGACAATGTGAGTGGTGGATGTAGCGAGCAGAACGGGAAGCAAGGACTTTGCGCAATCGATTCTAGGCTTCCGATTTTATTTAGTTTTTTTTGTTGTTGCTAGATAAGTGACGTTCGTTTAACAATAAGAGTTGTTAGAAACATCGACAGAACGGATGAAACACGTTGTACAATACGAATGCATGGCGATGTGTTAATCCATTGCTGGATGAAGCCTTCCCCACGCCCTGGGAGATTGGTTGGCCATAACTCCACCATGCTGGCCAGTGCCAATGATGTTAGCCCTGGCCGGGAATCGAACTCACGTGGCCGACTCTAATAACGCCGGGCACCTGCCAGAGCAACCGTCACTCAACCTCTACCGGAATTGTGCAATGTCCTTCCGACGAAAAAATCCACATCCTACTTGCGAACCGGATAAACGAATTGCAATTATAATAATACAAATTATTACACGTCCTTTATATTTCGTTGAATACTAAACTCAGTTTGGACGCAATGAATGCGTCCAGTGGTTATGTTTTTGTTCAGTCGGAACTAAAAACTACAGGAGGGGACAAACTGCATCCAGACACGGAAGATGAGCCACACGGGATGACCGATTCCATCCCAATCACAGACGGTTACAGTCACGTGCAAAATGGAAGGAATCAGAAAGAGAGGAATATTGGTGCCAGAAAGATGTGGCCACTACTTGAACATATTGGCACAGGACAGAGGAAAGTAGAAACACCAAATGACGAAATGTGCAGTGGACAGATCGTCGTGATGATGATGATGATGTATACTCTTAGTTCTTTCGGTAAAGTCACGTAGGTAAAAAATGAAATTAAAATTAATGAAAATAAAACAATAAAAATCACGACGTTTCGGAGGCAACACAAGCTTCCGTCTTCAGGTGAAACCGTCACAGCAAAATATCTGTACCTTATATATAGTGGTTAAGGGGGGAGGAGCCAGGAAGGGTAGCAGGGGAGGAGGAGTTGTGAGGTGGTCAATTACTGCTTTAGTTATACTGCTGGGTGGGTAAATGAATTAGATACGATTAGATACGATTTACCACTGTATAAGGTACAGATAGTTTGCTGTGACGGTTTCACCTGAAGACGGAAGCTTGTGTTGCCCCCGAAACGTCGTGATTTTTATTTTACTTTTATTAATTTTAATTTAATTTTATTTTTTACCTACGTGACTTTACCGAAAGAACCAAAGAGTATGAATCCTTGCAGTCACGAAAGCTTCAAATCACGACTAACGAGATGAGTTTGTCGATTTCGATTTGAAGGTGCATCACTCCGTTGGCTTCCTCAAATCGGAAGTTTGCTATATGCTGGGTCACCAAGACAAGCAGACAACAACAGTAACAACTACATTGAAAACTAATTTCTTTTATAGCTGCTTTTTTTCGTTCCGTTTTCTAAATTAAATCACGTTTCGGAAGCAACACAAGCTCCCGTCGTCCGAAAGGTCGTGATTTATTTTATTTTTATGTTTTTATTTCTAACTTCGTGACTTTACCGAAAGAACCAAAGAGTATGAATCCTTGCAGTCACGAAAGCTTCAAATCTAGAATCACTTCCGGTTTCACAATCCTCAATTTATCCCCCCACACTGGCCAATCAGTTATCTTTCCTCGGGTCAGCCGACCCAGGGAAGGCTGGGGCTGTGTCACACCAGCAAGTGATGCAGCCACAGGGAAATGCAAAATCATAGCAGATATAACCATCGATCGCCCTATATATATAAAAAAAACATCCCCAAAGTTTACTTGACCAAACTACATTTTCAATCAAAGTGATGACACTTTAAACAATGTCCTGCAAGTCACATTCGAAGGTCCCCCCACCCCCCCACCCCCCCACCTTCTAGTTACGAAACTTATTGCGCTCCTAGTGTCAGACATGAGAGGGGAGTTGACCCATGTGTATAATGATATATTAATTTATTACAATGCATTCATATGCTCAAAGACACGTGCGTCGCATCGCGTGTATAAAGATCAAAGTACGTGTTTTTTTTCTTTCATTCTTATCATCTTGTGTGTGTGTGCGCGCGTGTGTGCGTGCGTGTGTGCGTGCGTGTGCGCGTGTGTGTGCGTTTGTGTGTGTGTACGTGTATGTGTGCGCGTGTGTGTGTGCGTGTGTGTGCATGTGTGTGTGTGCGTGTGTGCATGTGTGTGTGTGTATGTGTGTGTGTGCATGTGTGTGTGTGCGTGTGTGCATGTGTGTGTGTGCGCGTGCGTGTGTGCGCGTGTATGTGTGCGCGTGTGTGTGCGCGTGTGTGTGTGCGCGTGTGTGTGTGTGTGCGTGTGTGTGTGTGCATGTGTGTGTGCGCGTGTGTGTGTGTGTGTGCGTGTGTGTGTGTGCATGTGTGTGTGCGCGTGTGTGTGCGCGTGTGTGTGTGCGCGTGTGTGTGTGTGTGCGTGTGTGTGTGTGCATGTGTGTGTGCGCGTGTGTGTGTGTGTGCGTGTGTGTGTGTGCATGTGTGTGTGTGCATGTGTGTGTGTGCGCGTGTGTATGTGCTTGTCGCCGTGGTGTGTCCGTGTGTGGTGCGCGTGTGATGTGGTGCGCGTGTGTGGTGTGTGTGCGCAGTGTAGGTGTGGCGTGTGTGTGTGTGGGAGCGTGTATGTCGTGCGTGTGTGTGTGTGCGTGTGTGAGGTGTGTGTGGGCGTGTGTAGTGAGTGTGGTGGTGTCGTGTGCATGTGTGTGGGTGCGCGTGTATTAGTGTGCGATGTGTGTGCGTGTGTGTGATGTGCGTGTGGTGTGCCGTGCGCCGGTGTGCGCAGTGTGCGTGTGTGGTGCTGCGATGTGTGTGCATAGTTGTGTGTGTGCGCGTGTATGTGTGCGTGTGGTGTTGTGTGCGCGTGTGTGTGTGTGTGCGCGTGTATGTGTGCGTGTGCGCCGTGGCGTGGTGCGTGTGTGGTGTGTGCGTGTGCGTGTGCGCGTGTGTGTGCGCGTGTGTAGTGTGCGGCGTGTGTGTGTGCGTGTGTGTTGTGTGCGTGGTGTGTGTGTGCGTGCGTGTGCGCGTGCCGTAATTCGTTCGCTCGGTGACGCGACCATTCACAGCATTGGACGCCCTCGGCGACAAGAACAAACTTTCCTACAATGCAATGTGCCGACAAACATTTGTATACGTTTTTTTTTACTTTTAATATAAATGAGTTTATATAGCAATACTTTGTGATTATTGAAGGATGTGGTCTTGGTAACTCAACAGCTACTACTAGTGTAACTATTCGCACGCCCGTTTAAAGGCTGCTCATTATCAAACATTTAAAAATGTAAATGTAACCAGGCCCCATGGTGTTAAGTAGTCTCCAACCCTCATTATCACCTCCATCTCTCCGACTTCTCTGTTTACGTGCTATGAAGGGCCATTGCCTGAAACGTCGCCTATTATATACGTATTTTGGTGTTAAGGCAGCGTTCTTAACGAGTGTGTTGAGTTTTTCATTCACAGCATAGTCATTGAAAAAAATACGAAAATCCTTAAATTCGTTGACAACAACTTGACGGATGCCTCCATCCAGCAGTGGAGCGATCACGGTTGCTAATGATGGTTAGGATGATGGTGATGATGGTGATGATGACGGTAAATCACCTGCGAGAAAAATCATGGACCGCCCCACCCCTATTTGCCATGATGTAGGAGCAGTCAGATCTGTCGTTAAACCTCCAAACATTCGCCCTGACCCACGGTCCCTCACGCCAACGGTGGCTAGGAGATGTTAACCACTGCGCCTGGTATACAGGAGGTCGTCGGTTCGATCCCGACCCTGGCACCTGCTGCATATTTTGGATTTTACTGGTAGGAACCTCCTGGTTACACCAGCCCACAGGGGATTATTGTGTCCGTCCGTCCGTCGTGAATCCAAAAAATGAGAGGGGTGGGGCTGGGTGGAGAGGGGAGGGTGGGGAGGGGCTGGGTGGGGAGGCGCTGGGTGGGGAGGGTGGGGAGGGGCTGGGTGGGGGGTGGGAGGGGTGGGGCTGGGTGGGGAGGGGCTAGTCACCCCGTGGTGCCCTTATAAAACTCAACGCTTAACCTACTCACGCCGGCTGGTGCCCGCCCTCACAGTCGGCCATATTTGCGGAATACACCACGCCGCCGTTGACCCTGGCCATTGACAGAGCAACCCAACGTTCCTACCAGCTCCCTCCACAGGAATGTGTTGTGTGTCTTTCTCTCTCTCCCCCCGTGCTCGCGTGAATTTTTCCCCGGGTCCTCCAAGTTCCTCTTCCCTCCACATTTAGAATCGACGTCACGCGTTTCGAGTATTTGCCCGCTACACATTTCCAGGTGACGAGCCACTTCGTTGGGCCATCACTTGTGGCCGCCAGGTCGCTTCTGAAAAAGAGCCACACACTAGCTCAACGGGGCCTTACCTGGTGAAATAAAAAAAAATAAGTTGATAGTTTTAAGTTTAGTTTCGAGATTCGAGTCTCGCGATCGAGCGAGCGAGGAGCCCCGGGACGACGCCGGGCGACGTTTGTGAGCAGCAGGGCAGGCTCTGAGCCAGGGTGCGACGAAGAGCTGGCGATCTTGACCCCTTGACCTCGTGACCTCCCTCCCTCCCTTGTCCTCGTCCTCCCGGAATTTCGATGAACTCTCCATGTCTCCGGCCTCACACCAGAAAGCTCGCTGCAACGTAGAGCAGAGCGAGACGCGAAGTTAGCAGTGGCTGGCCACTCACCCCCCCCCCCGCCCCTCTTCATGTACGCCACTCCCCATCAGCACTTGCCCCAAACAGTCTGCTAAAAGGCTATACGGGGGATCTTTGTATTTACGGGGGATCTTCGTGTACTCTGCCTGTGTATGTGTGCGCGCAGTGACCGGTGATGTAGCGGTTAGCACAACGCTGTGAACCCCGACACCAGGTGACGAATATTTGACCCGGTCCTGGGCCTCCCCTAGGTCGACTCGGCCTCAAATTAGTACCTGGTGCGGTGTGTAGTAAACATCGTCACTCGGGAGACAAAGGCGTCCGGGCGTGGTGCTGGCCACCCACCCCCTTCATAGGTGCTCACCAACAGCACTTGCCCCAACAGTCTGTTTGCAGGCTATACGGGGGATCTTTGTCTCTGTAGTGACCGCTCACGTGGTTTCTCACCGAGGGGGTTGGGTCCATGTCGCTTGATTGGGGTCTTGAGTCTCCCTGCAGAGCGACACGGATTGAGAAAGAATAAAAAACTCCCCGTCAATCAAGCAGATCGCTGTACACCAACTCCTACATTGTGACGATCATTGTGTTTGTGTCCAACGAAAACGGAACGAAAAAAAGCAGCTCTAAAAGAAATGAGTTTTCAATGTAGCTGTTACTGTTGTTGTCTGCTTGTCTTGGTGACGCAGCGTATAGCAAGCTTCCGATATGAAGAAGCCAACGGAGTGACGCACCTTTAAATCGAGATCGACAAACTCATCTCGTTAGTCGTGATTTGAAGCTTTCGTCACTGCAGAAATCCATACTCTTTGGTTCTTTCGGTAAAGTCACGTAGGTAGAAATAATAAAATAAAAAATAAAATAATAGATCACGACGTTTCGATCGCAACACAAGCGGTCGTCCTCAGGCGAAAAAAAAATATTTTTTATTTTATTTTATTCCATCTCTTCAGGACTGTTTTGTCGCGTCTAGTTTGTTGTCCTTCCCCGCACCTCCGATTAGCACGGCGGGGCTATGTACGGTGCGAAAGAAGTTCAACATACGTGAATACATACGTGTTTAACACGTAGTAGGCTTACGGGACCAATGTCATCCACAATAGTTTTTTGGAGTGAGATCGCGTAAATATATAAATGTGTCGTTAAAACCCGCCACCACCCGACACAGCCAACTAGTAAGAGATTGTCACGTGACGAGAACGTGGCCAATTCGTCACTAGTACAGCACTAGTGTGTAGTGTATAGTGTAGTGTATAGTGAAGTGTATAGTGTAGTGTATAGTGTAGTATACTATTACAGCACTAACCGGTGTGTTGGAGAGCCAAGCCACAACATTTACAATCTGAGTACGACGTTTCGCCAGTAATTACAACCAGCTTCATCAGGCGCACAAGTGCTGTCATCACATCTACGCCTCTAGTTAAGGAACGAAACAGGTGGACTTCTCCACACAGCAGCACACAGCAACACACGGCAACATCACACAACAACACACAACAACAACACACAACAACAACACACAGCAGCACACAACAACAACACACAACAACAACAACACACAAAAACATCACACAACAACACACGGCAACACACAGTAGCACACATCAGCACACAGCAGCACACAACAATACACAACAACACAACAACAACACACAACACCAGCACAACAACAACAACATAACAGCAACACACAACAGCAACACACAACAACACCACACAACAACACACACAACAACACCACACAACAACAACGCACAACACACACAACAACACAACAACAACACACAACAACACACAACAACACACAACAACAACACACAACAACAACACACAACAACAACACCACAACAACACCACACCACAACAACACCACACAACAACACACAACAACAACACACAACAACACCACACAACAACAACACATAACAACAGCACACAACACACAACAACAACACACAACAACACACAACAACACAACAACACACAACACAACAACACAACAACAACAACAACACACGCACAACAACAACAGCAGTCGTCACCGTTGTGCGCAGAACTCCCCGCTGACACCGCCGACGCCGCCGACGACAAGAATAACACAGAAGAAGAGGAGGAGGAGGAGGAGGCGGCGGCGGAGGCGGAGGAGGTGACGATGCCGAGGCAGCCCGTGAGCTCGGCCAGAGACAACTCCCGGTCGCCGCTCAGGTCGCAGAACTCGAGGAACCGCCGCGCGCAGCGACGCGGTGCGGCCGCGCGCCGCCGCAGGAGCCGGCGCAGCGCGCGCGACTCCGCGGGGCTCACGGCGCCGTCGCGATCGCGGTCGACACGCGAGAAGTGCCAGCGGACCACGCGTTCCTCCAGCGTGTGCCGGGGGTTCGGCTCCGGGACCCTGTGGTGGTAGAGGAGAGGGGGGGGCAGAGGGGGGAGATGTTGCGGTGGTGGTGGTGGTGTGATAGGCATCGTGTCCACCCCGGCACGCTATCGGATGCGGCTGCCTGGAGAGATGTTGTGGTGGTGGTGGAGGTGGTGGTGGAGGGGGTGGTGGAGGGGGTGGTGGTGGTGGAGGGGGTGTGATAGGCATCGTGTCCACCCCGGTGCGTTGTTGGATGCGGTTGTCTGGAGAAATGTTGCGGTGGTGGTGGTGGAGGTGGTGGTGGAGGTGGTGGTGGAGGGGGTGGTGGTGGTGGTGGCGGTGGTGGAGGCGGTGGAGGAGGTGGTGGTGGTGGGGGTGTGATAGGCATCGTGTCCACCCCGGCGCACTGTCAGATACGACCATCTAGAGCGGCCCCTCGGTGCCACATGACGCTGCCACTGGGCGCTATGACACCTTTGAATCAGCGAGGGTGGCGTGAAACTCGTTTCTCGAGAGCTGCTTTCTGCGTTCACTTTGCTATCCTTGGCACCGCGCGTGCGCCTCCGATGTGCGCGGGTGGCTGCTACGTACGGTGCGAAAGAAGTTCAGCGCGGTAGCGACAGACCTGCGTCTGCTTCTAGATTTGAAGTTTTCGTGACTGCAAGGATCCATACTCTTTGGTTCTTTCGGTAAAGTCACGAACTTAGAAAAGAAAAACCATTTTAAAAAATCACGACGTTTCGGATGACGGAAGCTTGTGTGTTGCCTCCGAAACGTTGTGATTTAATTTAGTTATTTTTATTTTTTTATTTTTACCTACATGACTTTCCCGTGTCTCCATGCGTTTACAAGCACCGCATCTCTCGCTCCCTCTCCCTCTCTCGATCTACGTGTGCTTTGTCGGGTGGTGGTGGGTTTCACGACACGTGTATACATTTACGCGCTCTGACCCAACTAAAATCTATATCACGGACGACATTGGCCGCGAAAGGCC